AAGCCACCTTGGCGATGGGCATGATCAACTCGTAGGCGTTTTTTTGAAAAACTCAAAAAAACCCTCAAAAATTTTTTGAATCGCATTTTTCTTGTTTTGTATGCATTTAAGAAACTTTTTTTTCGACCATAATTGTAGAGAACGTTGAGTACTATAATTTATGTCATTGTTGCAATCTTGGAAAATGACCTCGTTGGAGGTCATTTTCCATTCTCGCTGGACGCGGAATACGGTTGCTCGCTTCTTCACTACTGTGTGCGTACACCTTATCATTTTGTTTGTTGTAGATCTACGGTAAATTTTTTTCATCCGAAAAAAGAATTTCCCGATATTATTTTCCCGCGTACCGCGTCAACAAAGCGCGGCATCTCTTCAGTCTCAGGTCCATTAGACGAACATTCCAACGATGTCCTGTTTTTCTTCGATATGCCCAAAGACCTAAGACTTCATTGAACACCCTTTTCACCGTGGTTCTGCTTGGTTAAGCCCTTCAGATGGGGTTCCATCTGAAGGGCCAACAGTTTCTGCTTACGTTTGGGATTTCTTTGAATTCGCGCCTTCACAGCTTTTATTACTGCTGGAGTCCTAACAGACCGAGGGCGACCACTTCTTGGCCTGTCATCTACACTAGAGTCTTCATTGTATCGTTTGATGGTACGATAAACGAATCTTTTAAATTAAATTTTATATTAAAAATTTTCAGTATGTCAAAAATTTTAATTGGCGCGTAACCACAACGATGCAACGCAATAACTGCAACACGGTCTTCTTTAAGCGTCCACTTCATATTTAAAAATGAGTAAAACATAGAGAAAAGTAATATTACTAGAAAGAGTAAAATTCTAAAAAGTATACATTTTTATTTTCATGAACAATTCGAAATTCGAATTCAATAAACTTTTTTGTGGCCAGAAAAGAAAAATTTTACTGTGTGACAATTCTTATGACCTGACTGTGTATTAATTAATGAAGATAGGATATTTTATAGAACGAAGACATTATTTTATTTTCAATAATAAGTAGAACTGCATTCTCAGTTTTTAAAAAATCGCCTGCCAAAACCGGGAATCAAAATCGTGAAATGTAAAACAAAAAACACATGTATTTTATGATAAACGTCGAAAGGGTTAATGATAAGGATTGTTTTTTCCTAAACAACATAGCATTTTAAATGAAAGAAAAATCACGAAATTTGTTTTATTTTTAATAATTGAACAACAAAGTACAATAAAATAGAAACGTTGCAAGGTTTGTATCTATGTATCGCTTTTTTTACATACTTATAGTTAGGAAATCCTGTGTTATTAAGTGAGCAGGTACTAGTTGGTAAATATATACTTTGATTTCAAAGTATTTACTTACCAGTTCCTGCTCATTTTATCATTTGATTACATTTTTTTTTAATTTTATGGTCTTCCTTTCATTTAAAATACTATGTTATTTAGGAAAAAATAACCCTTATCTTTAACCCTTTCGATGGTTAAAATAAAATACGCCGTGTTTTTTTTTTTCAAATTTCATGAGTTTGATTTCTTGTTGTAGCAGGCGATTTAAAAAAATGTGAATGCAGATCTATTTATTATTAAAAATAAAATGATGTTCTCATTCTGTAAAAAATCCTATTTTCAATCTACTATATAAAAATAAGTCGGGTTTTCCTTCCTGACGCTATAACTCCAGAACGCACGAACCGATTTCCACGGTTTTGCATTCGTTGGAAAGGTCTCGGGCTCCGTGAGGTTTATAGCAAAGAAAATTCAGGAAAAATTTCAACAGAAAAGCGGGAAAATCTTTATTCACATACAGCGCCATCTCTGATACATAGCATATACTACAAACCAATATCATGTCAGATATAATATATAAATAATATATATCAGAAAAAATCGACGGCCGTTAAAAAAAATTAACAAAAACTAAAATAAAGTTTTAGGAATTTTATATTTTTAATGCAATCGGAGGACTTTTAAGGACTTCTCATTTCTTGCATTGTTAATGTAAAATGAGCTTGAAGTAAGTAATCAATGTATGTACTCGGTGGAATGACAGAAGCGTGGACTACCGCATGCTCATATCCTAATTTGGTTGCTGAACAAATTATATTCAAATGTAGTGAATGACATCATATCAGCTGAAATTCCTGATCCAGTCACTGATCCCCATCTACACGACATTGTGACGACACAGATGGTGCATGGACCGTGCGGTGCATTAAATCCATTATCGCCTTGCATGGCTGATGGAAAGTGCACAAAACGATATCCGCGACCGTTAGTTGCTGAAACAGTCACAGGGAACGATGGATCCAGTTTATCGTCGGTGTTCAAAAGAAGATAATCGTCGAACTATCAAAGTTAAAGTTCAAAATCAAGAGATTGAGATCGGAAATGAATTCATTGTACCATATTGCCCGCTGCTATCACGAATTTTCGAAACACATGCAAACCTTGAGAGTTGTCATTCGGCCAAATCAATCAACTATTTGTGCAAGTACCTCACAAAAGGCAGCGACATGGCTGTGTTTGGTATTGCGTCGCGAAATGCGAATGACGAAATCAGCAACTTCCAAATGGGCAGATACGTCAGTACTAATAAAGCACTGTGGCGATTATTGTCATTTCAAATTCATGAAAGATATCCCACAGTTGTACATTTAGCAGTGCATTTGGAAAATGGGCAAAGAGTTTACTTCACTGAGGCTAATGCAGCACAACGAGCTGAGAGACCACCATCGACAACATTGACTAGCTTCTTTGCAATGTGTGAAGCAGATGCATTCGCAGCGACGCTGATGTACGTTGAAATGCCCAAGTATTACACTTGGAATCAATCAACAAAGAAATTCCAACGTCGCAAACAAGGAACCCCAGTTCCAGATTGGCCACAGGTGTTTTCCACTGATGCACTAGGTCGCATGTATACTGTTCATCCTAGAAATGATGAATGTTTTTATTTGCGACTGCTGTTGGTAAATGTACGTGGACCAAAATCATTTGCGCGTTTGAAAACTGTGAATGACCACCAATGCCAAACATATCGAGAAGCATGTCAACTATCGGGTTTGCTGGAGAACGATTCTCATTGGGATTTAACACTTGCGGATTCAGTTGATTCATCAAATGCGTACCAAATACGAACGCTGTTCGCAATTATCATCACCACATGTTTTCCTTCACAACCAATTCAGTTATGGAATAAATACAAAGACGACATATGTGAAGATATCTTGCATCGTTTGCGCATTCAAACGAATAATCCTGACATCCAAATAACCGATGAAATCTACAATGAAGGATTGATTCTGATTGAGGATCAATGCTTGACTATTGCAAACAAGCTACTGATTGAAGTAGGAATTCAACCAAGAATTAAATCGAGAGCTGCAATACAATGTTGATACATTGCAAGAATTCGTTCGAAATAATGTGTCTTTGCTGAATGAACAGCAAAAACAAGTATACGAAACATTAATGCAAGCGGTGGACAATAATACTGGTGGTCTATTCTTCCTGGACGCACCTGGAGGAACAGGGAAAACATTTGTCATTTCATTGATTTTGGCCACTATTCGATCAAGATGTGACATAGCTTTGGATATAGATATATAGCAAGAAGATTTAGCTATGCTATAGATATATAGCATAGCTAAATCTTCTTTTTTTAATCACCAAACGAAATGTTACATAAAACGAAGCCATCTGGTGGCGAAACGGAGTTCGCCGGGTTTGCTAGTCAATAATAAATGTTTATACCTTTACATACTGAATCTGATACAAAAAAAACAATAAAGCCAATATATATATATTTAAAGAAAATATATGATGTACCTACCTAAAAATTTACGGTTTTCGCAATTTTTCCTTTATCTGTACCCTTAGCACGAACCAATGTCGAATTCGTATCGTTTGCGAGTCCGAAATGTCATTGTCAAATGTATACTAATTTTTAGTTCTCGTTACGTGCTTTGTGCCGCTGCTGTTCAAGTTTCCATGCAAAATTTGACATTGACATTTCGGTTTGCAAACTATTCGAATTCGACAATAGTTCGTACTAAGGGTATAGTAAAATAACATTACTTTTCTTTAAATTCTGACAGCAAGTAGTAAAGGCACTATTATGTTATCTGCGGTTAAGGTCCGAAGCATTTGTTCGTGCTAGGGGTACTTTACTATAAGACGTTACTTCGTACCAAATTTCAGTTCACGGGAAGTGCCTTGTAGGTTCGAAAATTTGCGGAAATTCGCGGCATAAACGGCTGTATCTTGTGATTGCTTTGGCTTAGAAGTTTGTTTTTTTCACAGCTCCAAGGGACAGTAGACATGAGTATCAGATATGAATTTCAGTTTGATACCTCCACAGACGGACGGACGGACAACAAAGTGATCCTATAAGGGTTCCGTATTTTCCTTTTGATATACGGAACCCTAAAAACATAATAATGAGCAATAATAAAATGCAAACTAGGAATATAAGAATGTAAAAATATACGTTAATTACTCAATAGCAAAAAGTACTGTGGATTTATTCAAGGCGTAGCTCTATAGTATATATTGTGGCGGCATCTATGAGTATATGCCCCACATATATACAACGGATGGAGGAAATCATTACTCACCATCCTCAAGAGATGGCGTTACCTGCACTGCGATCATAATAGTATGGAAGCCTACATCGCGCAAATGAAATTCGGAGGCTAACTCTTCATATATACGATGCCCGACCAACATCAGTCGGGCCTGACCCCCGAGCTAACATCATTCAGCTCGGAGGAAGATCTTCCCCTTTGGCCTTCCTAAAATATAATTTAAATGATCAAAATCTAAAACAATGTTCCATAAGAACTACCCATCAACAAAGATGTATGCAAAAAAGAAAACAAAGTTAATTGTATATTCTTCCCCTTCTCGATTATGCCGATGCTTGCTTCTTAGATGCCACAGAAACTCTATTGAACAAACTTGAGCGCCTGCAGAACCTAAGCTATCCGCTTTATCTTTGGTCTACGGAAGTATGACCATGTTTCCAAATTTCGTAAAGAACTCAAGTGGCTTCCTATACGTCTGCGCAGGAATTTGAGAATCCTTTGCCTCCTTTTCAACATGCTCTTCCATCCCTCGTATCCATCCTATCTTCGGGAGCGGTTTTCCTTTCCACTCTCCTTGTAGATCCCATCTCAAATCCCTCCTAAAATGTCCCACCCATAACACTGGCTTCGCATCCTATTCCTTCACAGTACATGCCGTCCGCCTGTGGAATTCGCTGCCAGCAGGAATAGAGATTCCAGTTTTGTCTCGGTATTTAAAAAACGTCTAAAGGAAAATTATTTATCTTCATGCCCTTAATCGCGCCCTTACTTTTTCCTTTGTTTCTTTTTCCTCTTTTCGTCCATAATATATGTATATATATATATATTTATATATCTATTATTATAAGTATTTTTACCTATGTATAATTGTATATATCCCCTATTCTTAATATTTAATCATAATTAGGTGTACACACTGACTGGCTTTTCAATATGCTTTCAATATGCTGCTGAAAGAAATTTCATGTTGAAATAAGCTATGCCCTTGTACTATTGTCTTATTTTGTAATCTCTTTCTATTTATATTTGTGTGTACAAAATGTATAAATAAATATATTTAATCAACTCAAATCATTAAATATATTTAATGTAACTTATAATATAATTATTAAATCAACGCATAATAACTAGTAACTTTCACTGAAACCAGATTTAATTTCCTTCCTTTACATTATAAAGATGCAGACCATCAAAACAAGAAAAGTTGCCTACCTCGGTCATGTCTTCAGACACGAGAGATACAATTTACTGCAACTCATTATGATGGGCAAAATTGCGGGGAAACGTCGAGTGGGCCGTCGGAAAAAGTCGTGGCTTCGAAACATCCGCGAGTGGACCGGTGTCAAGAGCGCCGCGGAATTGTATCACCTCGCCAGAGACAAAGCGAGGTTTTCAAGGCTGATGTCCAACCTTCAGTAATTGGAGAGGAACGAAGGAAGAAGAAGAACATTATAACTATTTAACCTTTCCAATGATAATAATTGTACGGCACATTCAAAAAGTTTTTAATATTATTATTAAGTTTATTTTTCCCCCATCTATGAGAAAACTGTCTTCCAACGTTACTTTAAAAATACACTTAAAATACTATTTAAAAATACAAATTAGGAAATCCCTAAGTTTTATGTGTGGCAGGGGATTTTGCCGCGTTCAGGATTAGATTTGGTTATAGTAAATGATATATTTGGGTAAATAAGTATATAATACCTATATTACCATCATAAATATTATTATTATTATATAAATTTTTGTTGCTGCAAATAGTTTCATTTCTAGAGCATGTCACAGCTATAATAAATACTTCAGGGGATTGGATATATTTTGCCTTTCTTACAACCAATTTAGAAATGAATGCTATAAGGTCGTTTTACCCTAACACTTAGTAATTATTTTCTTATATTCACACAATTCTAAATATTGTACGTAATCTTAAGTAAATTATGTAAGTTTATGAATGTTTCAGTCCGTGGAAACTTAACTGGTTTATGAAATAGTAATAAGTGTTACTTAATTGATTTGTGTAAAACTGTATGTTTCCCAAATGAAAATAAATAAATAAATAAAAATTAAGCACACAATAATACTTAAATAACAAAAAGGTAAAAACTACTTCACGTCCAAAATTTATCGATGATATTATCATCACAATCTTATCTCGCTTACACGCACTTCACTATTAAAATATTTAAAACAGTTAACTGTGCTTGTCTCCATGGTCACAGCTCTTTTTATCTTGCAAAAACATTCAACTGCTTAATGTCTACAATGCTCACTCTTGAGATCGAATCACTCAAAAACATGATGGCTGATATGATGAAAATCAGTGTTTTGCCAATGTTTAGCCGAACTTGGATTATTGCTTTCTGCAGCGTCCATATATTTATGGCTGATTTCTTTGATTTTTTTACTGTTTTACTTTTTAATGTATATTGTAGAAAATAGTAAACGTATTATTTATCTATCTTATCCCCCCCCCCCCCCCCCTACTTCAAAAGGCTTCCATTGTCGACAACAAAATTAGAACCGGTGATACCTTTGGCTTTGTCACTGGCTAAATACAAGATGAGATCAGCAATTTCGTCGGGTTCGGATATCCTGTTCAATAAAGTTGCGTGCCTCAGGTTATCGAAAGTGAACGAGCCTCCACTATTTTCTATTATATCTGTGTAAACTGGACCAGGAGAAATAGTATTAACGCGTATCCCTGACGATGCTAATTCCCCTGCAGCTATTTTGGAGAAATGAATGAGGGCTGCTTTTAATAAGCCATAAGCTCCAACAGTGCTCTTTGGAGCAGTAATACCAGCTATACTGGAAATGTTCACTATGTTTCCTTTAGTTTTAACTAGATATGGTGCGGCCAGACAAGTGAGCTGTAACACAGCACGTAGGTTGATATCGACAGAACTATCGTAAGACTTCATGAAGGTTCCATCCAAAATGTTACCATAACTTCCAACAGCGGCGTTGTTAACCAGCACATCTAGTTTCCCAAACTCTTTGATCGTGTTGTCTATGATTCTCTTAGTGTCTTCATCTTTAGCCACGTCGCCTACGATGACGATGTGTTTACCACCAACAGCTCCACACTTCTCTGAGGTTTTCTTCAATTTGGTCTTGTTTCTGGCTACTAGCGTCACGTTCGCACCTTCTCTACAGAAGAACTCCGCTGTCTTAGCACCGATACCAGAGCTAGCGCCCGTAACGATCACAACCTTGCCTAGTAGGTTCATATTATTTGTATTTTATTTGGGACTCAATGACATAATGTTAAAATTGTATTGTATACAATTTGACACTTCTTTATATAGGTGTTTATCAGATTTTATCGTTTATCTTATCTGGATATGGTCTTAACTTCTTGATTAGTTTGAGGGACCACTTGCGGCTGTTTTTATTCAATCCTAATTTAACTTAAATTAGTTTAAGCCCATTTGAAATTTTACTATGGGTTAACTGTAGTTTTAGTTTATTCGATATTTGGCAAATTTGCTGCAAGTGGGCCTTAATATACGACAAATTTTAAAAACGTCCTGGGATAAACTACCTACAATATCTATTAAGTAGGTATATGACTTATCTTACGAGGAGCTCGATGGCGCAAGTGGTTAGCGCGTTCGGCTGCGATCGTTGAAGTTAAGCAACTTTCGCAGTGGTCGGTCATTGGATGGGTGACCAAAAATTTACTATCTCGAGTTCCTCCGTGCTTCGGAAGGCACGTTAAGCCGTTGGTCCCGGTTGCATGTGCAGTCGTTAGCACCCGCCAATCCGCACTGGGCCCGCGTGGTGGGTCATGGCCCAATCTCCCTATTCCATCCATAGGGAAGGCCTGTGCCTCAGCAGTGGGGACATTAATAGGCTGATGATGATGAGGTATATGACATCTATTCTTTTTTATAGGTAGGTACATTTTAATTTTTGACATTTAACTGCTAGATTTATATAATAATGTACCTATAATATCCTTCAAGACGATCATTATTGCTATTGAAGCGGCATCTGATAAACAAGTGTTTATAGCACCGAATCTTTTCATGTTGATAAATCAATAATGTTGTTATCAATACATATCTACACAAAGAAATCTATGATACTGATATTCATATATGTGAATGACATTGCATATTTTGATATTGTCGACAGGGGGGCATCTGCCCCCCCCCCCCCCTCCCGTTGATATCATAAAGAATGTAACCAAATATAAAGCAACCAATCTCCTTAGTTCACTCACTTGACTTTCTTGCCTTATCAAACATTTATGCTTCCTGCACGTCGAAATTCCAATGAATTCACTAGGTAATTAGATCATTACGTAATAGCGTATTTTTACACTCCATCCAATCATCCTCATCTTCCATTTAAGTATACTTACCCATGTTTTCTAATACTTTTGTAGAAGGCTCTTAGGGAAATGAACATTAAGATAATTTGGATAATAAGAAGAAGAAGATAGAACATGAAGAAGCGTGGATTTTCTTCTATTAAATCTTTTCTTTAGATAAACATCTAGCAGTTAAATGCTTAAAAAATAAAATAAAAACATAATTTATGATAGTTATTTCATTTTAAAATTAGAACACTCACTTTACTTAAAACTCTTCCCAACTGGTGACGCTGCACTGCCGTTTTAATTTATTTTTTCGGACCGCACAAAGTCTGTCATGTCCACTAGGTTTAAAATAAAACACACAAATAGTATGTGTATACAGCGATTTAAAATTAGGCACTGCACTGCATTCCCGCAAGCGGATACCAATGTGCACAATGATGCACATCTGCAATCCCGCAAGCGGATGCAAATCTGCACGATGATGCGCATCTGCACTCCCGCAAGCGGATGCAAATCTGCACGATAATCCACATCTGCACTCCCGCAAGCGGATGCAAATCTGCACGATAATCCACATCTGCACTCCCGCAAGCGGATAAAAATCTGCACGATGATGCACATCTGCAGTCCCGCAAGCGGATGCAAATCTGCACGATGATGCGCATCTGCACACCCGCAAGCGGATGCAAATTTGCACGATGATGCACATCTGCACTCCCGCAAGCGGATGCAAATCTAAACACCGCAGCGTAGTGCTTAAGCAGTGTGAGAATCGCCTAACTGATAGCGCACCAACGTATGGGCCATGGGTAGCTCCACAAAGCTCATTTAAACTATTGTAATATTATAAAGAGGAAAGGTTTGTATGTAAGTATGTTTGTAACGAATTGGCTCAAAAAGTACTGGACCGATTTTAAAAATTCTTTTACCATTTGTATGCTACATTAAATAAAAATGGGTGCGTGTATTTATGTAGGCGCGTGAGAAGTTATCCTTCTTTGGCATCGTTTAAAATTAGTTTTTAATTGCATGCAAATAATTAATTACAATAAATTAATAAAAAGTCTGGAAAAGGACGAAGTCAATAAAGTTCAGTTTTAATTTGAAAAAATAAATAAATAATCAAAATATTCAATTAAAATCGCTACTGAATATAATTTATTAGAACATATGTGATTTGCACTTGTATGAAACTCAAACACGTATTCCGAATATACAAACTAGAAACATGTGGATAAATATTATAAATATGAATACCTATAACTGTTACTTTATTACAAAAAATAAAGATGTGGTTTTTGGTTCTACTACACCAATGGTCAAGAGATGGCGCTGTAGTCTCCTGAATCGCGCTTTGGTTCCGTTGTTCCAGATTAATAAATACTTTTTGTTACTTTATTACAAAAAATAAAGATGTGGTTTTTGGTTCTACTACACCAATGGTCAAGAGATGGCACTGTAGTCTCCTGAATCGCGCTTTGGTTCCGTTGTTCCAGATTAATAAATAGTTTTGATAGGCCTTCACAATGCAGTCGTTAGCACCCACTAAATAGAGATTCTATTTCTATTTATTTGGTAGATTTTCTTAATGTGCGGTCAACACAAAAGTAACGCATGAAGTTGGTCATTATGTTAAAATTTTGTGTTACAGTGATGCGCGCGCATCTTAAAATTTCACTCTCATCATTTTTTCATAACGCGCCTAAAGAAGCATAACTTCAATAAATAAATAAATATTTCCAACACTCACACCAATTAGCCTAGCCCCAAAGTAAGCACTGTAAGGCTTGTGTTATGGAATGCTAGGGTAACGGATAGAATACATAAACTGTACATATATAAGTATATTTATATAGAAATACATATTAAACATCCATGACTGGAGTACAAATGCTCGTATTCATCACACAAACATCTGCCCCCACCGGGATTCGAACACGGTACCTCTCGAGTCGGCGACACCATGAAACCCGGCGTACAAACCACTCGGCCACGGAGGTCGGCATTATCACTGATTAATATAGGCTATAGTTTATTTTCAAAAAAGTTAGGATTCCGTATGAAAACTTCGATAATGTAAACCAACATGTGTAAAAAAATACCAAAAAAGGTTTATAGCGAGTCTAACTTAAAATATATATAGACATAGGCTGTCGTAGGCTTTTTTATAGAACTTTTAAAGGGAAAGAATTCCGTCATACATGATTTTTGTGTAACTTTAACCGTTTACCCAGCGCACGCAACGGTATATCTTTACCCGTTTTTGCAACATTTTTCATCGATGCTCCGCTGCTACTGATCAATAGCCTGGTAATATATAGCCTATAGTCTTTCTCGATAAATGCACTATCCAATACAAAAGGATTGTTTCAAATCGGAAAAGAGCAATGTTGCATTCGTTACAACGGGTCCTAAACTATGCAACGAATTTTTTACTTGGAATGGAAGGTTTATAATTATTATGAAGAAGGTCATTATATAATACTAGCAAACCAGTGAACCAAATGTTCACCAAAACCTGGTTAAAAAAAAATGTATTTAATTAATTGAGAACTTCGGAGATTTTGTGTGGTTTCGTTTGAAATTCGTGATTTCTCGAAAACCGAAAGTGCTACGTTACTCAAATCCGGTTTGTAGTCTTATCAGACTATTCTTAACTTATAACTTAAATATTCTCTTTATCTATCTCTTACGGTTTGGCCGCTGAAACAGCACCACAGACAGACAGGCGGACGGACTTGTCTAATAGATAAGAGATAAGCCTTTGAACAAAAACTATAGTCTACACTACAGCTTTACACCGAAGCGAGGGTGGGCCACCTTCTATGATAAATGTTAAATGCCTGTTAAATTGGTCTTCAAACTTGGCCAACGTCTACTTGCCTCGTATAAGTTAATCTTTTAAAAGGTTGCTCGGCCAACACGTATTAGCGGTTTTATGCGTTGACTTTATTGGGAAGTACCCCTAGCACAAACAATATCGAATTCGAATAGTTTGCAAGTGCGAAATGCCATTGTCAAATGTGTACTCATTTTTAATTCTAGGCTCCGAATATGATTTTGTCCCATTCGGTGTCGAGACCCTTGGTCCGTGGGGTCCTAGCGCTAAGAGGTTTTTTAAGGAAATATCATAAAGGTTAGTCGACATCACTGGAGACCTAAGAGCTGGCAGCTACCTCGGACAACGAATTAGTCTAGCTATTCAAAGGGGGAACGCTGCCAGTATCTTCCGAACCTTGCCTAAAGGGACTCCTTTTTGTAATATATTTTAGTTATTATATTTTTTAAGGTTTTTAGTTTAAGGTTCATTGTTCCATAGAAATAATAAATTCTTCTATAAACATTAAATATATTATTAGTTCTGGTTACGTCCGTTGTGGCGCTGCTGTTCAAGTTTCCATGCAAAATTTGACATGACATTTCGGACTCGCAAACTATTCAAATTCGATAATGGTTCGTGCTAAGGGTATAGTAAAATAATATTACTTCTCTGTTAATTATGACAGCAAGTATCACTATTAAGTAATCTGCGGTAAAGGTTCCTTTTGTGCCTTTGGATGGGATGGGACCATCCTATATATTTATGGATGGGACACAAATTGATATCTGTTGCGCAAGGTTTGTGGGACTAATTATAATAGATGCTAAAGAAAATATTACTAGAAAAAATTCCACGCGGACGCCTGGTCCAACATCAAACCCACCAATTTAAACATCAAACCCACCAATTATGCCCGTGAGGGCCGCGGTAGCATAATTGGTCAGTGTATTCGCCCGGATTGCGAACGATGCGGGTTAGAGTCCCGTCTGCTGCCTGATCCGCGTGGACTTTTTTCTAGTTATATTTTACTTAAGATTTAAACATCAAGCAGTTACATGGTTTAAAATAATAAAAATTATAACTATAATAGATGCTGTTTGTATTTCCTGACAAAATTCAAATAAAGACTAAAATTTAATTTGTTCGTTTTTTTTACTAAAGCATCAAGCGTTGCTACAGTAGCGACATCTACCAGGAAATGTGGATTTTATTGGTACTTAATTTTATTTGCGCTCCTCCTTGCCGGTTGCCACTGCCGTTATAAGAGGTTGATTTAGTTTGCACATACATCTATAGATGGCGCTATTAAGTAGTTTAACAACTGACTGTTTTCCTCCTTTGGTCCATCTTGCTATAATTCTGAAGCTACTGTTGATTTTATTAGGCATTTTAATAACTTGTTTGATATAATGAACTCTCGTAATTTAAATTCATATGGATTTATGTCAGAATGTTTTACTGTTCAAAACATATGATTTAAAAAGAAAAAACTGTAAGAAATTTGTATAAAAAACTTAATGTTTAAAGGACAATAAATTTATAAAAAAGTATTGGTTTTTATTGTACGTACCCCTCTCTGAAACAAATGTATTAGCAATTACACACTGGGACTTAACCTATTTCTGTGATGACTATACGTATCTATAGGTACTACAATATTACTAATACTTACCTATGTCTCAATCACTTTTCCCTATTTAGACAAATGTTCTCACCTAACCGTAGCACAATAAATTTTCCCTATAAAAAAATTTGTGGGTTAAATGCAAGGTTAAATGTATCGCATTGAGGTTACACTATTTCTGCACCTACTAATGTTTTTATCCCTTACGGGTGTACGCGCATGTCAAATCTATAGGATTCTTTATCTAAGTGTTAACTAGACACCCTGTTGCAGTGGTCAGTCACAAGATGGGTGAGGGTGACCAATTTTCTTAGAGCTCCTCTGTGCTTTGGAAGGCTCATCAGCCGTTGGTCCCGACTGCAACTGCAGCTGTAAACATCCTCCTAGGTATAAGCACTGATCCGGCGTGGTGGGCCCATGAATAATTTGCCTCAACGTACTAACTATACTTGACCCATTGAAATAAAAGTTATCTAAGAACTTACTTACACATAGGTACTGGTGTCGATTCTGGCATGATTCTGTGAACTTAAAACGAAACATCAGTCTCTCCTTTTCATTCTGTATAGGGAATGACAAGGTTACACTGTTATCAAACACAAATTAAGTTTTGGTAAGGTGAATATATGCATGGATCGACACAACGCACGGTTACATATTAAACTTATTTTTTTCAAGTCGACCAAAAATATAACTCATTTACACTTAAAAACAATCAAAAATATTACTATATATTTTTATAATTATAAACATTTCATGAGAGTTATAAAATATTATTGCTATCAAACTCTTATTGATTTAAGTAGATAACATCTTGGGATCGTGTTGCTAAGTGTAAGACCTTTGCGTCAACATGCATACCTAAAATTTACCTATCGCAGTGAATTTGACTTTTTATTGCATTATTGATCAAATTAAATAGCAAATAGACAATATTTTTTGGTGAGTGCGACACGTACATAAATTCTATGCCATAATTTATCAGCTATCTTCTATAATGGACTCCATTTACAATTTACATCAGATGTATATAGGCTTGTTGAAATTATATAGATGTATCGATATTTTTTGTTCGATGTATCGATATTTTTTGCAGATATATTTTGTTTCGATATATCGATACAAAATAACCAATATCGAAATTCGTATCAAAAACGACTTTTTTTTAATTATTAGCGGCATATCACGATCTAACTAAATTCGTATCTGGAAAATCGTAACTGGATCTCAGATTGATGATATTCAACATATCTATGATCTGTGCTGTATTTAGTATTGTCAATGATTTGTAAATCTGTTTCGCTGGTGAATTGGTTGTGCTGAATTCCATTATATTCTGTGGAAGTGTGTGACCGTCTAGTCTTGTTTACTAAAGATGGCACCTGAGAGGCCCTGCAATCATTTTCATCATTCGAAAATAGGGTCTATTTTTAGGGAGATAATTTTCGTTCCATTATTATTCCGCGTGTCATCTTTCGTGAAATACTGTACTGTCATGGAGTGTAGCGGCAATTTGGTACTTTGATATTTCTTTCTTTAATAATAGTTTGTTTTGTTATTATTACTGTGCTAGGCTGACCTAAATATATTTTTGGGAAAATTGGTCCGATATATCGATGTTTTTTTCGCGATATATCGAAGCCGATATTGATATTTTTTAAAATATCGATGTATCGATATAGCGATATTTTTTTCAACTTTCGACATCCCTAATCAGATGGGGTAATTTGTTGCCCTTGCATAAAATAAAAAAGGTTGACATCAGCAAAGTTATTATTGAATGAAACTCGGGGAGATAATACTGTTTTGGAGAGCAGGTACCATAAATTGCTGAAAATGGAACAGGAACAACAAGAACAGGAGCTTAAACAAGCAAAAAAATTGATTGAAAATAAGTAGATTTTTTGTAGAAAATCAACTTCAATACCAGTGTATGATATCATCAAAAATCGATCACCTGATACACTTTTAATATAACTCGCTTACGTATCAAATTAAATATTCGGAATGGAAGAAATACCTATGTCTACACCGATGACCTCTGAAACGGTCGGGGACGATAAAATAAGATAAACAATCTCAGATGCATTGAGCTATATATAAACAACTGTGGTAACTTTGTGACATAATAGATATTGCAGTATTGGACGCAAACAACATCCTGATAACATGAACTTGCAAGGCAAAGTGGTGATAGTGACAGGGGCTGGCTCAGGAACCGGTGCGAACACTGCAGAGTTCTTTTGTAAAGAAGGTGCGAACGTTGTACTTGTGGACGTAAACGAGACTAATTTGAAAAACATCTCCGTGAAATGCTCAAACGCTGGTGGTAAACACATCCTCATTGTAGCCGATGTGGCTAAAGACGAAGACGCTGAAAGAATAATTGGAGACACGATTAAAGACTTTGGAAAACTAGACGTCCTAGTCAACAACGCCGCTGTCGGACGATATGGTAGCATTCTGGACGGAACCTTCATGCAGTCTTTCGATAATGCTGTTGATATCAACCTCCGTGCTGTGCTAAATCTCACGTGTTTGGCCGCACCACATCTAGTTAAGACTAAAGGAAACGTAGTGAATATTGCTAGTGTATCAGGAATTGATCTTATAAAGAGTATTTCTGGAGTCCTTGGAGCATACAGCGTGCTAAAAGCGGCAGTCATTCATTTCGCAAAAATAGCTGCAGCTGAACTAGGGTCCAAAGGAATTCGAGTGAACGCTGTTTCCCCCGGTCCAGTTCGTACTAATTTAATAAATAACAGTGCAGCACCTTTCTCCCTCGATCAGTTGAAGGAGGACACTTTATTGAACAGGATATCCGAACCCGATGAAATCGCTGATCTGGTCCTGTATTTAGCTAGTGACAAAGCTAAAGGTATCACCGGTTCGAACTATGTGGTCGACAATGGAAATCTTTTGATGTAGAGGTAATCTCAAATTGTTTTTGGTCTCAGCTTTTAAAATATCTTTCTTAATTTTAATATATTTTTTTTATCAATAAAGACTATGTTGGTGTTATTTACTTGTATTAGACTGGGCGCATGCGTACGATTTCGAGATTCGGGACCCATTATTGAAAAATTTGATCCATTCTTGAATATCTAATGGGTCTGTTAAAGTAGCTTTGTCCCTTAACAGAATTATATACTACTGGACTTGTTTTTCTTTTCAGTTTTTATTTTCAATAATATAAAGCAGTCAGGTTTTTAGATTTTTTAAATATACTTTTTTTTTAAAATGGATAAAACTTAACGTTCGTTTTGGACTCTAAATAAAAAAAAGGTTTTCGGATGGGGCCATTCGCCTAACGGGATTGCTATATCTGAGATTTTCCAATGCCTCGCGCTTTTTTTTCTCTTAGCATTGGTAATAAAAATATGAAAGAAAAATAGCATGAGGTATTTGAAAACCTTCGGCGGGCAGAAATAACAAAATTGATCGTAAGTGATAGCAATAACCATAGCTGTTAGGCGATTGGCCTCACATCAATAGACATATTTAACTGTTCACTCAAAAATTGTAAAAAATATATCCACGATATGGTAGATAGTTCTTAATTATTAATTGTAACCAACAAAACTTATTTTTTTTTATTGGTAGAAACATTAACTTTTTTCATTCTCAATTTTAACTACCTGAACTCCTTTATATGTTTTATATTATAGTGGAAACTTTATTGATGTATGTTTATTAATTACATCTAGGTATAAGTATTAATTCATTATTTGTTTCCCAAATAAAGATAAAATAAAAAAAAATAAAAAAAAATGGACCCCAGCCCCTCTAGCATGACCACCGAAACGGGATATGATAAAGCGATATATCGTCATAAGCTGTCAGACTACAGTGGTGTTTGACAGTAGTCTGATAGTTAATGCCGATATATCGCTTTATCATATCCCGTTTCGGTGGTCACGCTAGAGGAGCAGGTGTAAGTAGAAAAAAATATTAAAAAATTGTGTGCACGGATCACAAATCTGAAGTAAAACTTCTTTTCTTAAATAATATAACATTAGGCGGTGCATAAAAGGCACAGGGGAATAGAGCAGCGCAAGTATCACTCATATATACGCTCGTAGCGTTTCAGCCTTCGCCGAGTTACCCTCCAATTCACTCACTGTGATCCAAGTTGTGATCTTAATAAGCAGGTAAGTATCCATATTTAAAACCCATGATCAACAATAAGTAAAGAAATAGGTAGCTTTTAACAAAATAAAAATACGAAACTACAAAAAATCCTCTTATCTATATATATAAAACTCAAAGGTGACTGACTGACAAAGTGATCTATCAACGCACAGCCCAAACCACTGGACGGATCGGGCTGAAATTTGGCATGCAGGTAGATGTTATGACGTAGGCATCCGCTAAGAAAGGATTTTATCAATTCTACCCCCAAGGGGATAAAATAGGGAATGAAAGATTGTATGAAACTTTGTCAATTTTAAACCGATCGGGCTGAGACTTTGCATGCAGATATAAGAAGAATCATAGATGAATGTCATTGTGTATAATACAAGCCTGAGAACAAAAACTGTAGTCTACACTTCAGCTCTACACCGAAGCGAAGCGAGGGCGGGCCGCTAGTTATCAAAATATAATTGATATTTACGGAACAACGGAACCTTAACTCCGCATAGCTCCATAATGCACTTGGCTAGTTTCTATTTGTATGAACTCACATATGTCTGTACCTACTTAGAACCTTATTAAGTGCAGATTAAGCATTATCTTATTATCAACAATATTATCTACTTTATTATTGGCGTCTGTAATCACAAGGCAGATTAAAATGTGAAAAAGATCGTCTCTTTCTAACTTGTGGGGTCTAATGGTCTAATAGACAAACACATTTATCATAGATAAACAAATAAATAAAGATACCCACCCCACCTACTTTTATCAACAACACGTCCATTAGTAGTACGAACTTGGAGTCATTCTACATCGCACGCACGTTCATCGTGATAAAACAGGCGTACACTTTGCGTTCAGTGTCAGTTAAAAATAGAATCCGAATACCTACTTAGCTGTGTAAACTGTAAACAGTCTACGACAGTGCTTCAAGTCTCAAAATGAGTTTCAACAACAAAGTGGTCGTTGTGACTGGATCGAGTTCCGGAATCGGGGCTGCCACGGCCGTAGCCTTCGCTAAGGAGGGAGCCAGCGTCACCATCGTAGGCAGAAACGAGACCAAGCTGTCTGCTGTGGCTGCCCAATGCGCAGCCGACGGCAATGAACCACTAGTCTTAAAAGCCGATGTTTCCAAAGACGAAGACTGCAAACGCATCATCCAATCTACGATCGAAAAGTTTGGCAAGATCGACGTTCTCGTAAACAACGCTGGCATTGCTAAGTTCGGGTCATTGACCGACGGCACGCTCATGAAAACTTACGACGAAGTCATGAACACAAATCTACGCGCGGCCGTGGTTCTGACCAGTTTAGCTACGCCGCATTTAATAGCTACGAAAGGGAACATTGTAAACATATCAGCGATAGGCGGTACTTTTGCTCCTAAGCCACCATTTCTCACTTACTGCGTTACAAAAGCTGCACTGAATCATTTTACGAAAGGCGCCGCTTTGGAACTGGCGCCGTCTGGAGTCAGGGTGAACGTTATAAGCCCTGGGCCTGTGAGAACTGATATAATTGAGAACGCCGGCTTTCCCACCAACTGGGATGCGTTTGCGGCACAGACTGCTCTCGGCCGAGTCTCAGAGCCGGAGGAGATTGCGGAGCTCGTCATGTTTTTGGCGAGCGATAAAGCAAAGGCTATTACCGGCTCGAATTATGTAACAGATAACGGAATGATGTTGAAGAGATAAATGTTTAGAAGTTAAGTGAAAAAATCAACTGGGTTAAGAAGAATTTATTACTGAATTAAATTTATATTGAAACAAAAAATAATAAATTTGATGATTAATATTCATTATCTTTCATCAGTGTTGGTAACTTATTTACTATGTTTATCTTTCACGCTTCTAGATGTTATCATTTGTGCGGTATCTAAAACAATTGTTGTCAAGTTATGATTACCTTTAGATAAAAATATTTATCATCTTATGGATAGACTTATTATGTTACCTATCAATCTCTCCTATATTCGAAGAAAATAAAAAATCGAAAAATTACACTGCAGGCCAATTCACACAGGAATTGTAGCTGCCGCCCGCGACAGACAACGTGGCGAGCTCTTTTGTGTGTAGTTTAAAATTATTGCACATTGGAATGGTCAATTTATACTAAGGCAGAGTCGAAGAGTCCATCACAAACGTAACAAAGCAAATTCATCCTTATCTCCGCATCGTAAAGCATATAATTCTTCTGAGATAAAAAGACGCGCGAATTCCGTGGCATGCGCGCAAATTCGCGCGTCTTTTTGCCTCAGATATCGCGCGACTAGGCTGTTCCGGGTGGCTCTAATGAGCTGTGACCTTAACTAAGTAGTTAAGTATCCATATTTAAAACCCATGATCAACAATGAGAAAAAAATATGAAATACAAAAAAATCCTCTTATCTCCAATATCTACGGAACCTTAAATTCAGCGTGGCCATATGTGTACTTGGCTGGCTTCTCTTTGTATTTATTCACATAATCTCTCTGTAGTTACTCAATAGGCACCAACCTACTAAGTAGAATCTTATTATATAACAATAATAATATCTCGTTTTGTAGTTGGTAACCCGGCTCATTACAAATTTTGTGGTCAAATAGACAAACGCTTTTATCATAGATAATTAAATGAATAAAGTTACCCTCCCCAGCTATATCAACAACAAGACCAAGCAGTGCGGACTCGGAGTCATTCTACATCGCACGCAACGTTCGTGATCGTGATAAACTAGTCTTAAGTACTCATAATTCCGTCCAGTGTCAGAGATAAAAATAGAACGCGAATAACTGCTTAGCTGTGTGAACTGTAAACAGTCTACGTCAGTGCTTCAAGTCTCAAAATGAGTTTCAACAACAAAGTGGTCGTTGTGACTGGATCGAGTTCCGGAATCGGGGCTGCCACGGCCGTAGCCTTCGCTAAGGAGGGAGCCAGCGTCACCATCGTAATTTTCAAACCATCGTAAATTGAGCAAAAAACTTTTTTTTGCTCACTCTACCTATTTGGTTTGAATTGACAGCTATGAAATCACAATATGGCGCCCAGTCGGTCCTGTTCTTAGTTGAATCGCATTAAACATTGTTGCGTCTTTCACAAATGATATATCATTAGATTTTGCGTAATTTACTGAGCTTATATATGTAAGAATCACGACGTAAGAAAGCCGAGGAAAAAAGTTTTTATGCTCTGAACATTTATTGGTTATGTTATTTTGACAATTTTATTACGTATCTGTATTACATTTTTTCATTACAGAAATTGTTTTTTTGCACAGAAATGGTAACAAGTATACCAATATCACAGATAAATTCAAAATGTAGTAGAAGCGAAGCCATTTAATTCCGTCGAGTGCGGTTGGCGTCTTATTTTAATTATTCTTAAATTCGTTCATAGTGGATATTGTGAAATAAAATTGGTGTGATTTTATGTTACAACCGTCTGCGCAACTGAAGAATTAGTGGAATCTTTAAAATATACATAACGCTATTCCGGTCAAGTATACGTGAGAATTTTATTGTAGTATTGACTACCTCACAGAAGCTTACTTAAAAAGTCAACTCGATACATTTCGTGTCAAACACTCCAAGAAATATTAGAATGAGCCACACTGACATTGTAATGTAAAAAAACGAAGATTAATAAAACTACAGACTTGGCTTAATGGGCATTGTTCCCTTTGCCTTCCCCGAAAAGGGAGAATCTTAAAAAAAACATTCTAACATGTCCTATTTGGTAAACAATCTTGGCACAACTTTTTAACAAAATCACCAATATAAAAATAAAATTAAGCGCGCGACAGCTCTTCGTCAGTCTCGCTGTGAGCGCTGAGGAAAGTGCATGTGTTTATTTTATTGATATAGATAAGCACCAAGGCAAGTGCAACTAGAGGCTCCATATTCACTCACAAGATGAACACTGCCGTCTCTTTCGAATACTCCACTAATAATGATCGTTTCCTGCACGATGTGTCGTTACTATTAGTCGCCGACGCTAGCGACAGCTCGGTGTCTAGAATGCGACAAGACGCCAAATGGAAACAACGCCGCGACTAGACACGACGACAAGTCGCCTAGTTTGCGATGTCTCTTAATAAGTATGTCGGATTATGTGACGAGTAGAGTTTCTTGTTGAATGTCAATCGCGAAAAGGCTATTGTTTACACTTTAAATAATTTTATAAAATCTTAATTTAATTTGATTTTATTAATTACAATTTTTGTATTGTTCAGTAACTTAACAATTTAATTAATCTCTTATAAATCATCTTATGTCGCGCCCAATCAGAGCAGAGCACGTGCCTCGAGTGGGGTCGAGGCGCCATCTTGATTTTCACAGGTGGGAGGTAGTTTTTGCACGTATTTAAAACGCGAGGAACTGATCGTAGCGGTTCATTACTAGAAAGGTGATACGGTAGTTCAGTGAAGTCAGATTGGTACCTTGAACCCACTGCTCGGTTGTTACGTTATTTAAGTGTCCTTAGTGTAAAGTAAAGTGTGTGTGAAACATTTTTATTTTGTTTTTGTTAAAAGAACGTAATTAAAACTATACGAACAGTGATTGAGTGATTGTTTGGTTTTGTGCCTGTATCAAGCCCCAATGACGCCCACTAAGCCCGTGAACGCTAATGACAAAGTGAATAGTCGCTCTCCGACAAGTATTAAAACGTATTTTTTAATGGATGTATCTATTGCCTTGGGTAAATACCTGATGATGGATATAAGTATTTGATATATAAAATAAAGTAATTTTTCTCAAGTAGTTAACTACCAAGCCAATGAGAAATCGTAATAAACTCCATATTTACTAAGGACCAACCAACTACTAGCTTGAAGATTAAAATAAAACAATATTAGATGTATCTTTTTAACGTATATATTTCATAGAAACATACACGCCGTCAGTTACGCTTACACGATAAATTGGAATAACGACCGCGCACACCGCGTACTCTGTGAACAAAATGAAAATACCAAATTATTAGGGTTTAATATGAAAGTTAACTTACAGATACTTAAGAAAATATAACTAGAAAAAATTCCACGCGGATCAGGCAGCAGACGGGACTCGAACCCGCACCCTTCGCAATCCGGGCGAATGCACTGACCAATAATTATGCTACTACGGTCCTGAAGGCCGGGTCAAAATTCTTCTAGCCGTTCTCAAGCTAAATTCTTCTAGCCGGATCGCGAAGGGTGCGGGTTCGAGTCCTGTCTGCTGCCTGGTCCGCGTGGAATTTTTCTGGTTATATTTTCTTTAGATTTAAACATCAAGCAGTTACATGCTTAAAAATAAAAATTATTATTACAATACTTGTGTAAAACAGTAATAATTCTAATTGTTTCTTAGGTTTTCCCGCACACCACTCATTAAATAAATCAAGTTTCAACAGTATAGATGCACGCATTTATTTATTTATGACGTTTCCCATCCTTTTCAGGTTGCGAAGCGTCCTACCGTAAACATTTATACTGTTGAAACTAGTTTTATTTAAGTAATGAACAGTCGTAATTCGGATAAAAATGCTCATTTTGATTATAATATTTGCTCCATTGGATTCGAACCTGGGACCCGAGTAGAGGACAGCAAAACAAACAAGTTTTAAAGTGTACTATATGTATTTTGTAGAGTTACAAAGTTAGGATAAATTAATATTTCAATCAAGTCATCAAACCACACACCCCCTTATTGATAAACGAAAAATAAGATTGGATTAGTTAATATATGTTTAGTCTCAGTTCATTTAATGGCATATGACATTTGAGTGATATGATCAAAACATGGCGTAACTAGTCGTAAGTTTATTCCTCGTTTATTAATAAGGCGGACAGTGTCTACTATAACATTAGCTCAGAACAAGAGCTAAAGCACAGAAACCAGCTTATTTTAAAACGAAGAGTAAGCATGGATTAGTTACTCCATGTTAAGTCTGGTTATTGAATGACATGGCATTAGAGCGATATAAACAAAACACGGCGTAACTAATCTAAGTTTATTCCTCGTTTTTTAATAATGGAGTGCGAGTTTAAATTTAAATAAATTTGGCTCATATAGTTAAGATTATTTTTACATATAGACCAGAAGATTCAAAAGTATGGTACAAACAGATATTTGATATCTTTGGCCTTTGTACACCTTGAGGATACCTTTATAATACCAAATCAAAAAGCAATCTAACGTCAAATGATTCCTGCCAACACACTGGTAATATTTTTTGACTGGTTTGGGTAAGTAAACACTTAAACGTCATTGCATTATACTTCTTTGCTTAAATCTTGTTATCAATAGCTTTCAAAATTGGTAAGTCTGAAGACACTAGTTTAATATTAAAACTCAATTAACAATCTACAGACCAAATTGAGATTAGCAAAGTTTTAATTTTTACTTAGATCAAAACATTTAATTGGTATTCGCTTTCAAGAACGGTGGGGTCTAGAATAGTGAGATTGTACTTACTCATATTGCTAATATAAATTAATAATTTCTCAGTATATTCTCTCATTTTTAAAATGACAAGATTGTTTAATGGGTTTTGAATGGAAATATCGATCCCAATATTGGAATTTTTGATCCCCTGACCCGACACAAACAAATAAAAGAAAAACCTCACCTTTAGTATAAAATTAGTCAAAAAGACCGAAGCCCATATCCTCATCTTCTGATTCGGACTCCTCTTTCTTGGTTTCCTTCTCTTCTGCAAAGCAAACAGACAAGACAACATTAAGAAACATGGTAATAATTCACACAAGTTAGTTGACTTAGATTTTATCAGATTGTAAGTGTGACAGCACAGGTGCTCAGTCGAAAGATGGTGTGGTTTGAAATCATCACAATAATTAGGCCATTCATTCTATTTTATTAACATAACCTTTTCCCCTGGTGTATATTTGCTTGTCACATTTTACCTTATTACAAAACAGACTAAAGTTAAACATGGACTAAAACGGATGCTGTCGATTTTGTTTGCTAAAAAGAAGACAGGGACACATTAGCTTTATACCATTGGTCCCAGCTGCATCTGCAGTTGTTAGCACCCACTATATTGCTTAATAGGCTGATGATTGCTTGCCTGCACTCTTACCAGTAACAGACAGCCCTCTATTCAGATGTTCATTTAGGCAGAAGAAACGCCACAGCATGTCATCATGGAATGCAGGAGTGTGGCCGACCAACGGGGACGACTTCTCCAGTCACCAGATTCATTTCCGGAAGCTTGCAGCAGTCTGCCAAGACTGCTTTCCTTCTGGACTAACTTAGGCTGGCTGGAGTGAACGGGAATGTTTCGAGACAAGCACAGTGGTCTAATAAAATTAGGATTAAGTTCCCTGAAAAACTAAAAACAAACTAATAGGGAGGAGTTCGATAGCGCAGGCGGCTATCGCGTTCGGTTGCGATCGTTGAAGTAAAGCAACTTTCGCAGTCGGTCGGTCATTGGATGGGTGACCACAAATCTTCTATCTCGAGTTTCTCCGTGCTTCGGAAGGCACGCAGGTCCCGGCTGCATCTGCAGTCATTAGCACCCGCCAATCCGCACTGGGCCCGCGTGGAGGGTGATGGCCTGCACTCCCTATTCCATCCATAGGGAAGGCCTGTGCCCCAGCATGTAGTAGTGGGACATTAATAGAGTGATGGTCCTGATAGTTTACCTTTCTTCTCCTCAGCGGCGGCGGCAGCAGGCGCAGCCCCCGCGGCGGCGGCGGGCGCGGCGCCTCCTGAAGGCATCGATGACAGCTTCTCGCGACCTTCATTATTGGAACTTATGTTAAAGACATTGGGTGAAAGTAGAAATCGATTGACCGGTAACGTCATAGTCAGTGTTTAGATTTACAGCAAGACTGTTCAGTCGAAAGATGGTATTGTTATAATCATCATTTTTTATTTTATTTCATTTCCTACTTTACTGCACAAACGAGTGTACAAGTAGGGGACTTAATGCCAGTAGGCATTCTCAATTCAACTGGAGAATTCTATCAAAAATCTTAAGAAGGTAGGGCGAAAAGAATTCATCAAATAACTTATTATTATTAAAGTATGATTGATTTGATATATATTGATATTGTTTTGATCATGAAAAAAGACATGTGAATGTATTTCAGGTATTATAATGTATTTATTATTATAAATACCACACTCCAATGGCTATACACATTCGCTATTTATCAAATTTAGTACTTGTCTTGTCATTGTCTTTGTATTTATTATGATAAGTACAACATGGTTTTAATGGCAAACAGCAAAGAGCAAACATGTATAGCCACATGGAATGCTGGCATAATACAATAAATTATTGTAAAATTTGACTTCAGAGAACTGAAATAACAAAATTTTGTTTGTGGTAAAGTGTAAATCACGTCTTTTGTATTGATAACACTTATAAAATGTTGATTCCACACTGAACGCTTTTCGCCATTTCTCCTGTGAATCACCCATACCCCATCGCCACACTATTCATTCATTCTGATAAATAGATTTAAGGGATAATATAAATTAAGACTACTTTATTATACATCCTGGCAAAATTCTTGTGCAACAACCCGAGAGAAGGAAGCCTGCACAGTTATTTACATACAAAACTTCGCCTGCACAAGTTGAGTAATCTGTGGTTTTGCTCAAAAAGTTTTCCACTACACTCGGACCTTACCTATACCTAGGGCTGCCATCCGTCCGGGTTTCCCCGGATTTGTCCTAGTTTACGGGGCGTCCGGGGAGCGTCCGGGCAGGGTTTTATTTGTAGTCCGGGTTTAAAAATTTACGGCAACGCATGAGTGGCCCTAGGTGCTGCAAGTGTCCATGGGCAGCAGAGACCACTTATTATGAGGTAGACCGCTAGCTCTTTTGCCTAGATCAACATAAAAAAGTTGATTTGTGACATTTTTAACTGTTTTTTTATTGGTCTGTCCGGGTTCTGGGCTCCAAAATCCGGGGTTATCACGCGTCTTATCCTAGTTACCATATTTTAGAGATGGCAGCCCTACCTATACCTATGGTACTTATAAAAACTTATTCTTAGCAAATAAAAAAATTTGAATATCATCATGAAGTTTTATCCACACAATTCCTAAATATAAATAATAAAACATACCCTGCGCGATCAGCTCTTCAATGCTCTTGCCATCGAGCTCAGAGATGACCTTCTTCAGTTTCTCCGAGTCAGCCTCGATGCCCACCGAGCTGAGGATCTTCTCCACATCGGCAGCGGCCGGGGAGCTCTTCCCGCCGAGCACAGCTAGTAAATACGCGGCCACGTAACGCATTCTAGAATGTACAAGAAAGATATGAAGATTATGATGTTAAATATGGCATTTACATGAAGTTAAAACTTCAAATTACAGACAGACACTATTAACAAGTATGTGACCCCAACCCATTAATGTTTTATTCGATTCGACTAGTTTCACAACGTGCGAACCGTGGTCGTGATAGGTAAACAAAAGGTTGACCTTTGGCAAAATCACATGATTATAATGCTTTTTAGAGTTGCACGTTATTTAAAACCATTTGAAATGGAATAAACATACAGGTTGTCTAACAATAGATAGGTTATCCACCAAAAACTTTGGAGGTTAAAATGACAGTCAATTCAGAGGGGTATTTTCGACAGAAATTTCGAAATTTGATTCAGTAAATTTTACGTGGATTCTTGATGAAGAAAATTCATGAATTCCATTTGATTTCAAGAACAAAGCAGCGAATGTCCACCAATGTCAGTACGGCATACCCAAAGCGCACATTTTGAATCCATGTTTATCTTATCGAAATACATGAATATTTCACTGATTTCAGCTTGGCACAATATTCTTGTACACTATTTAACACAATATCACAAGTATTTTTAGAATTTAACTTACTTTTAAGTCGTAGAGACACGAAACGTGTTATGCCGTAAAGTAAACGATCGTCTTGAACGAATTGTCAAGAAGAAAGAAGGAATTGAGAAACGTCAAACAGGTTGACAATGTTGCGGTGTTGCCAGATGAGGAAATTAAAAACGCGGCAGCGTGAGTAACAAAACGCGGCTGCGTGGTTACAAAATAGCAAATATTCTACAAAAAAAGAAGAATTAGCTGTTTTATTATTCACATCGGTGTCGATTCTGACAGGATTCTCTAAACTTAAAACTAATTTTAACATCAGTTTGTCCTTTTCATTCTGTATGAAGGATGACGAAGATACACTGTTGTCAAATATAAGTTTAGCTTTAGAGAATCATCCGTGCGTGACTGTGAACCAAGAAGCGATTAAGTGGTTTTCAAGCACTTCTTGTTTGGGACACATTTTGAGCGCATGTGGTGTATCTAGGGTATTTAATATTCTTGTAAAAATGGACTAATACTGGTGCTGTCACTTTTATTTCCTACAAAGAAGTCAGAGACATTAACTTCAAACCAAGACTAGTTTTAGTGCATGTTTTGGAATAAGGCGGATGTTTGCCTTATATTGTTTTCATCCCACTGAGGAGCTTGATGGCGTAAGTAGTTAGTGCGTTCGGCTGTAATCGTTGAAGTAAAAGCAACCTTAGCAGTGGTAGGTCATTGCATGGGTGACCAAAAATGTACTATCTGGAGGTCCTCCGTGCTTCGGAAGGTACATTAAGCAGTTGGTTCCGGCTACATCTGCAGTCGTTAGCACACACCAATCCGCACTAGGCCCTCGTGGTTGGTCATGGCCTTATCTCCCTATTCCATCCATAGGGAAGGCCTAGTGTCCCAGCAGTTGGGACATTAACAGTCTGATGTTGATGATGAATCATCCCACGGAGCCCCGTGGATCGTCTAATGTACCTTTTTTACAAGTTTCGGATTTGATGGATTAAAAGAAGAATGTGGATCCATTGTCAAAAATGCGGAAGAAAAAGCGGAAAAGCAGTATACCTGGCAGCACTACAATGATGTTTCAAGTTTTAAAATTCTCCAATCCTCATGACTAAGGTTTTGCAAACGCAAAGTCCTCTAAACAACAAATATTGATTGTTCGATTATCATAATGGAAAATGTAAACCCAAAAGCTTTTGTATTTTAATGTCAAAATTCCTAAATATAATAATTACTTTTTCTTATATCTGAAACAGAAAGATTTTACAAGAAATTCAACTCGTACTAGATTTTTTTATTAAAAAACGACACGGGGGGAGAGCGACGCAGCGCTGCTTTAGTTATATACTAGAGCATATGCGCGAGAAGGACGGTCCGGCCTCCTAGTGAGGCACGCCCGTATCGGACAGAAGAGCTGCAGAGGGCAGCTAGGGATGTGCGATCCGGGTCGTCGATCCGATTTTTCGGATCATAATGAATCGTAATGCCACGATCCGATCCGCGGATCGGATCGCAAGCCGTCGATCCGATCTTCAAGAAATCGGATCGGATCGGATACAAATAAGTAAGACAATTAATTTTAGATTTTTTTTGGTAAACCCTTCAAAGTATGTAAAACTTGTGAACAAACAAGATTGCCCAATGTAAAACTTATAAATAAACAAGTACTTAGTTTTGTAAGAAACACAATGTGAAATAGTCCGATCTTTCAAAAGATCGGATCGGATCGGCGCATCCCTAAGGGCAGCTCGTGCGTGAGTTGACCCGCTACCACGCTACTACAGATAACGGGTCGATCAGTAAAAGGTCGTATACTTATTTGATTTTGTATGAAACCCGTTATCTATAGAATTGTTTATTTATTTTTAAACTTTATTGACCAAAATATATAAATAACATTGGTGCAAAAGGCGGACTTAATGCTAAAAGCATTCTCTCCCAGTCGACCTTTGGGAAAAATATCCGTGTAGCCGAAAATCATAACGCGGATGGAAACCAACATCCCACCAAGGTCACCTTGGTTGGAACGCTGGATTACATCCGTCTAGAATAGCTTTTAGTCCAAGCAATATAAGAGGGGTACGCATAAGCAGTATTCATGCGGGCTATTTAAACTTTACGGCTCTATATATAGGTCATTTCGCCAAGTTAATCTATGGTTAAACTTTTTAATACAAAAGTAGGCTATAACTATCACAAAAAACGGCTTATAGTACCGTGGGTAGCGCACCCCGATCGGGGCGTGTGGTCTTTATTGAGTGTCACTTATGCAACTGTATGGTCTTAATTAAAACGCATGCGTAAAAGTGTTTTGACAGTTCGAAATGCAAGCTCGTAATTTTATTTTTTACGACTTATAGCTTTAAGTGGAAGAATATAGAATTTAAATCTTTGACTCTACACGCAATTTTGAATGCGCTGTTAGCAATACAGCCGGTACGGACCGCGAGGCAAGAAACGGCTACCTACTTAAATAACCGATTAAACGATCATGCACTTGAATATCACAAATATTTTCTATTAAATCAGTATTATGTATATTTATGCGTTAAATTTACAAACATTGATTTGATACCTGTCGAAAAACCGACACTTTACGTACTATAAAAATATTTTTCGGATTCTTTCACTTAGCTCTGCGGCATCTTGGTTTTTTAACGGTCCATTCGTGACCATAGAGTACATTATATACTAGTAACAATTATATTAATGTACTCTGTGACTAGTAATTCGTGACTGTGAACCAAGAAGTGCTCGAGTGGTGTTCAAGCGTATTTTGTTTGGTACACATTTTGAGCGAATGTGGTGTATCTAGGATATTAAATATCGTTGCACATAGAATACAATATTAGTACCTATAAGTTCAATATTCAAGTCGAATTCCATACAAATGTTATACTTCTAAGCTTGCAGCGGCAATGCCATCTATCCTCTGTAATGTGAATCATTATTCTCGATATCATGCTTTTGTGCGCAGATTCCAGCCCCTAATAGCCCTTAGCTGATTTCGGCTTTCTTTCACAGATGTCTATTAAATTATTTGTTAGATGGAATCTAAGACGATGAATTTTCGTATATGGAATAGTAACCATATGAGTAAAGAGTACGTACTGAACCCTTAGCACGAAACATTATCGAATTCGAATAGTTTGCGAGTACAAAATGTCATTGACAAATGTGTACTGATTTTTAATTCTCGTTACGTCCGTTACGGCGTTCCTGTTCGAGTTTGCATAAAAAATTTGGCATTGACATTTTGCACTCGCAAACTATTCGAATTCGATATTGGTTCGTGCTAGGGGTAATGTACGTTTCTTTACTCCTGTGATAGTACCTATTTAGTGAAAAAACAGAGCTTAGTACGGGAAATAGATTAGGTATTTTGCAGACCATGGGCTATAGACCTATATTATACTAGCGGCCCGCGCCCTCGCGATGTAGAGCTGAAGTGTAGACAGTTTTTGTTCTCAGGCTTATATTATACACAATGACATTCATCTATGATTCTTCTTATACCTGCATGCAAAATCTCAGCCTGATCGGTTTAAAATTGACAAAGTTTCATACAAACTTTCATTCCCTATTTTATCCCCTTGGGGGTAGAATTGATCAAAATCCTTTCTTAGCGGATGCCTACGTCATAAAATCTACCTGCATGCCAAATTTCAGCCCGATCCGTCCAGTGGTTTGGGCTGTGCGTTGATAGATCACTATGTCAGTCAGTCACCTTTGAGTTTTATATAGGTATATAGATTAGCCTTTCGTGTAGGAAAAATTAGCTGGCAATTAGGAATTCAACAAATTTTATTTATATACGAGCTCAATGGCGCAGGTGGCTAGCGCATTAGGCTTGCGATCGTGGAAGTTAAGCAATTTCTTCAATGCTCGGTCATTGGATGGATGACCAAAATGTTATTACCTCGAGCTCCCTCGTGCTTAGAAAGCCAAGTTAAGCTGTTGGTCCTGGCTGCATCTGCTACATCAATCGGTTAAGTACCTATAAACAGATCATTTATTAATCGTGCGTCAACAGCCCGCCTCCGTCTCCTCCCACACAGGCCACGAACACCAACACAACACAGCTAGCATAGTTGCGCACTAGCTTAGCATTAGGCAGACACCGCACCGTTATCAAGAAAAGGACAACAATACAGCTCAGCTGTACGGACTCGGAAGCGACTCGCCATTTCGCTCGCGCCGCGTTGAAGCGTAGTTCTGTCTCGCTTGCTCGATTGAATGTTTATATACAGACGTGTGCGTGTGTGAGAGTTGCATAGGTATGTAGTTGAGTCGGATCATATTTTATTTGATGCTAGTATGAGCGTACCGTATCTTCCCTTTTTGTTTTAATCTAAGGTACCCAACTAATAATGCAATGCAAGGAATATACCAACATAAATGAAAACAATAAATAGTACTTAGTGTTATAACTTCTAATTTGAATTTACCAGTGCTCAAGTATACTAGAACTTTGCTTAAAGTAAGTAATTGATTAATAAATGAAGTTCAACTTTTAATAGGTTACCTACCTACCCTATTATAAGTTTGTGTTATTTAAAAAAACATCCACAAACAAATGCTAAACAAACTTAACCTGATCAACCGATGTGGAATATCGATTTAAAATTTACTTCTGAAGAGAAATATAATGTGTGTTTTCGTATTTCTCTCAAGAGTTAAATTATATTCTAGCGTTTTTTAATAGCCCACTCTCAGACCAAATAAAAAGTATAGACGGAGTCTGCCGAACCAAAAAGTGAAGCCGATAAAACTACGCCTCGCCGTGTACATACACAGTTACACGCACACACATGCAACGAAACTACGCCTTGGCTTCTCAGTCGAGCTATCCCGACGCGCGGAGTGTGACGTAATAATAAATAACAATATTTATTAGAGAAAATGCCGAATTGTGTAGTGAAAACGTGTAAAAACCAATCTTCCAAGAATAAAAAACAGGATGGAATTACATTTCATACGTAAGTAAAGTTATAAACTGCTATTTTCAATTAATCAAAATCAAATTTGAGGTTGTCGCTTTGTAAACAAAACCTGAACGAAATGTTGCCATGATTATTCGTTACAGTTTTACCCTTTTGTTGGGTAGCGTGAAATATAACGTAACGTTATTTTATTAAATACCATTGTGTGGCATACT